AGCTTATTCTCATGAGACTAGCTATAGGTCCAGAATCTCTGGGATCTGGAAATGTGACAACGTGCATTTTTAAAGAAATTACAATGATCGCTTCCTTTACGCCAAAAGCTGGAATTGAAAAAGGTGCTATATCTGTATTGGCTTGGTGATATCAACTTTAATGTCGGCATGATCATTGTAGACAGTGTTCTCACTAATATGTTAAACTCGTGGAGTTCAATTAATGTGTTGTCAGAGTCCATGATACACTGAAATTATTGTCAATTTCATTAATTTATAACTTCTAGTATGAGATTAAAGCGTTTGACAAAATAAACTGCACTTTAGATAGCTGCATAATATTTGACTATAGGGGGTTTTCACTTTGATTGCAAGGCTAAGCATCTGTTGTTCAGGATCAGCACTTTGAAACTGTACAAACAAGTAAGAAAGTATTTAAATTTATGATCACACGCTCTAGTACGTGATAGATGATCATTTCTTAAAGATCACTGAAGCAAACACAGAGTTTGATCTTTTGGTCAAAGTAAATTTGGCAACAAACACTTGCAGATATAAATTTAAAAGAAGTCACAAATGTGGCGGTAAAGCAGAATTTAATGAATTCACCAAAACTCAGTAGAAATCTTAAGCTGAATACTCTACATACAGGGGTATATATATGCATATATATATTATATGTACTATTAGGAATACATTAGGAGATTTGGCACTGACAAAAAAATTAACTGTAATGAATCAGTTATGCGCACCTGCAGGTGCTAATGTTTTACAGGTCAAGTTCATGTGAGTAAAGAAAAAGTGGTGCGAGGGATTAAAATCAAGATTTCAATGCAAGCAAACATATTTATTACGAAAAAGGCGATTGTCTACTCACGTGAGAGGAAATTTACACAAGTGGTTGAAAAAAGGCACCAGAAGCCACCAACAAAGCATTTTGGAGACTATGGACACAATACTGACTCTGTCAGGTCATTTACTGTCGTCAGCAGACAAATCAACAGAAAAATTCAAGTCGTGGTTTGTAGGGATTTTGTTGATTGGTTACAGGATTTCATCATGAGCTGACATCGGTTAGAAAACCATTGTAAAAGCACCAGGGAGTACAGCTGTTTCGTCCCATTAGCTTGGGACTGTTTATCAGTACGCACCCATCACCAAAGTACGAACCTAGGACCTTCTGGCTACAAGGCGAGCTCGTAGAACATTAAGTCACTGTTACCCGATCCAGTGGGCAGCCCATGAATTCTAAGTTCTACCAATTCATGACATGGCACAACCGCTAGCCAATGTCTCCGGGCAGTTAACCGAGATCTGGTGGGAATTCGTGAACAGTAGGGTGAAACAGGTCGGGTTTGAGGACAAATACTCGCCGAAGGCATTAACTAGCGTTTGCTCTATGTCAGGAATTGGCAGAAGTTAGAATTCTTGGGCTACCCATTGGATCGGGTACCAGTACCTCAATGTTCTACGAGCTCGCCTTGTAGCCAGAAGGTTCTGGGTTCTAACCCTGGTGATGTGTGCGTACTGATAAACAGTCCCAAACTAGTGAGACGAAACAGCTGTCCACTACTTTCAGATGGTTTCCCAATGGTTCTCTAAATGATGTCAGCTCATGATGAAATCTTGTAGCCAAACAGAAAAATTATGGAATCTGTTTTGGTTTGTTCAATTAAAGTCTATAAACCCTGCCTTTGTGTACTGAAGGAAATGTCGGTTACTTTGAATCTACCGTGATAATATCAATATATTAACTATTATTATTATTAATTAATATTTTACTACATCTCTTATTATTATTCTTAACTCATTTAAAAATGTCTTTTTTCACTAACGTTATGTTAACTAGTTTCTTAATTATTATAACCATTATCGTTATTCAGTCTCGAATTCCTGACATTTACAGGTTCTGTCTCTGACAACCAACTGTTTATTATAGTGATGCAACTGAACTGTAATCTGTTGTAATCTGTGCTGTACACTCTCAATGCTTTCTTCTTATCCACCTGAATTTGAACTGTGAAATACTTGTAACTATCGTTTTGTATGATTGATTTACAGTAGCTTACTATTTACTTCTCAGTCATATATCCCAGTATATTTCTTACAGTGGGTATAATATTGTGAGTAGAGTATTCAGCTGAAGAATTCTTCTAAAATTTGATGGATTCATTGAGAATCCCGGATAATAACCATTTGTTGTTTATTTTAAAATAAATCTACCATAGTATCTTCATTTATATAAATACAATTTTAAAGTGTTACTTGGATGGGAATAATTTGTTTCAAGGTTGATCACGTATTAAAAACCAATGAGTATTGCACAGATGTTTCGTCACAGTTTTGGACTCTTTACTGGTGCTCACGCATGACTTTATTGGGGATCTAGCCCAAGATCTCCAGGTGATGAAGGCTGAATTCAGTCTCCCACCACTTATGACTTCTATTAGTTTGCAATTTCAGCATGACTTTCAAATAATGTTATCAGAGGACATTTGTCTTCACACGCGATCTGAGTCACTTAATTAGTCACAATTTCTCATTAGAACTCCAGTGTAGAATATAAAGTGAGTGTTTTTTAATCAGTAAAATGTGACATCTCTTCCTAAGTTTAAATATATTAAACTTATACGACATTATAGTTGAAATTGAAGCCATTTAGGCTTAAAAGCCACTATACAACTTTTGCTTAGCTCTGTAACTGATATTTTAATTATGAGCATAGCAGTCTATCAGGTGAACATCAAAGTCCAGCTGGTTAGAGCTTTGTCACCGCCCAGATTTTAATTTTACCTTCATCAATAGTGGTTTACCTGCTGAAGGCTATCCAAGGCAGTCTTACCATCAAATATGCAACTGTCAAAAGCCAGTTGGATTCATATGAGAAGAAGAAGGCAATGTTCTTAAACTGTTAGTAGATATTAATACCCATTTCTTGATTTCGGTTGTCAAGTAAGGTTGGTCCTAACACTGGACAACAAACCATAAACTCTCTGAAACAAAATTTGTTTTATTTAGTAAGGCGGAATAGACTTGATAATTGGATCGATCATACATCAGGTGGAAATCGATGTGGTCCATACATTAATAATGGTGGACGGAGCACGTAGATAGAGTTGTTGAATTCATCACTAAATATTAAAAGGTACAACAATGTGTGCCAACAGATCATTATAGTGTATACTACTAATAAATATAAGTAGGCATACTGTTAACCAAATACACCGAATTCGGTTGGTTAGAACTGATTCAGCTCTATAAACACTGTTGATAAAACCGTTGCAAAAAGAGCGAAATAGCTGTCCGGTGTTAAGTTCACTTAGATTTGGCTATCAAGTAGTACTGCTTGAAATGTGTAGATCCCTACAACTCAGATCAATCAGAATTATACACAATCTTTCTATTATTATTATTATTTATTTATTTTACCATTATATTTCTTTGCATTTCTATCTCAACTTCATTGACTTTGAAAAGGTATTCGACAGCGTCGACCGAGAGGTGATTTGGAAACTACTTAGCTATTACGGGTGCCGCCGACAATTACACATCTCATCAAACAGTTGTACGACAGTGCTGCATGCCAAGTAATCCACAACAGGAAACTTACGGAAGCCTTCAAAGAAGTGAAGATGGAAGTAAGACAAGGCTGCCTACTATCGCCAATGATTTTCCTGATTGTAGTAGATTGGATAATGCCACAGACAGTGGACAACGAGGAAACATGCATAGAGTGGACCCTCACGAAAGACTTGGAAGATTTGGACTTCGCTGATGATATATGTCTAATTTCCTACAAACTGGAAGATATGCAAGTGAAAAGCAACAAGTTGGCAGAAGAAGTATCCAGAGAAGATAGGACTTCAAGTGAACATAGATAAAACGAGGCTGATGAAGATTCCTGGCCAACACCAGTAGCAACAACAACAGTAGACGACAATCAGCATAAATGGGAGGAACCTGAAAGAAACAACCTCCTTTACCTACCGATTTGGGAAGCATCTTTTCAACTACAGGTGGACACAATTGATGAGGATATCAAGTTGAGGATCGGGAAAGCAATGCAAGCATTCATTACTCTCAAGTCTGTTTGGTGGTCAACAGCACTCAGCATCAAAAATAACATCCCGATTTTCAACTCCAATGTGAAGTCAGTGCTACTTTACGGATCAAAGACTTGGTGCGTCATAAAGAGCATCTCTAACAAACTTCAGACCTTCATCAACAGCTGTCTTGGCTCAATACTCAAGATCAGATGGTCAGCCAGAAAAGATCAGCAACAAAGATCTCTGTGAGAGAACCAACCAGGAACTGATTGTGAAACAAATAGGCATGAAGAAATGGAGATGGATTGACTGGCCATGCTCTGAGGAGACCATCAAGTGACATCACTAGACAAGCCATTGCTCGAGTGGAACCCGAAAGGGAAGCGGGCGGTGAGTTGGTCGTCAGTGCAAGGGTGACTTGGAGGAGGTCATGTGAAGAGGAGATGAAAGCATTTGGGCAGACGTAGAGCCAGGTGAAAACTCTAGCAGAAAACCGAATGCAATGGAGACACGTGGCTGAACCCCTATGTTCCTCTAGGAATTCAAAGAAATAATAATAATTTCTTTGCATTCTTAATTAATATAGGGCTTCAAGTTTGAGCTTTGAATTTTCAGTAGCAGTGGCGTTTATTTTTTACAAACGGGGGTTGCTAACCTCAAGTCCAACCTTCCCTTTCTGCCTGTCTTTTAATCAACTAAGAGAGGTCTAGGATTGCTCTACGGCCAAGGATCAAACCCCGACTCAAACAAGTGATTGGCGAGTATTCTACTACTGAACGCCAGACTCACACTAATCTTGCTACGCTCCTAGTTTTCTTGATTGCGATTAATGACATGAGACATATCATACGTTGGGATCTGAATATTTTTATCGGTTCCTAAATGAAACATAAGAGGTATATTTTCACATCAAACTATATAATATAACAAAAATGACAAGTTTGATGCTTTTTGCTACGCTTTAATGCAGTGTATTACTTAGCAAGAATAAACTGTCAAGAATCCTGGGTAAATTATGCTCCATTTTGATTTAGAATAGAAAAAGGTCCATAAATAAATAATTTGTTCATCTTTTTATTCGTTTGGATAAAACATACAAAAAACAAACAGTTAAACTATGAAAAATAAATGAATACATTAAAAGACGAACACACTTTTGGACACACGCACACACACACACAGACACGCGTACACACACAGAGAAGACAAGACAGAAACATAAAATTATTATTACATGCAAATGCATGTAACTGCATTAAGCGATACATTTTTTGGAGGTGGACAGACAGGAATTCGGATGCTGTGTGCGTTTTCACCTTCCCACCTCCTTTCAAATTGAAAATGGACAGTAAATGGATGTGAATGTGTGAATAATACAATGTATATTATCATTATTATTATTATTACTCAATATAATTACAATGATTTATTTGCCAGTTTCATCTTACATATGTGTTATGTAACTGTGGTGTGATATCACTATGATAGAATGATTGCTACACATGGTCAAGAAAGGGCAAAAAAAGTAAGTTTAGGATAGAGGAGCAATAGAATTTTATCACTTTTGTATATATATATATATATATATATATATATATATATATATATTCTTTTGTATATCTCTCAATCCATGGTAATCTTCTTCTGCGACAGTGGGAATTATGAAGTATTGAAATGAATGGCTGGTGTGTGAGTCAACAGTGTGTGAGTCAACAGTGAGTCAACAATGAAATGATGTACCAGTTAAAAGAGTTAAAGAGGTCACTTTTAGAAAAACAAACCAACGATGGGGGAAAATGGTGAATAATCTATTTTTTGTTTTCATTATTTTGATTTTTAGAAAATACATTCACGAAATACTTAAATGACAAAAAGAAATAGATAATGCTGAAGACGAAAAAAATACACATCCAAAAATGTATGAATTTGATGTTGAATTGAAGTGTTAAAATGTGGTCAGACACAGGCAGGGAGAGAGACAGAGAGAGAGAGAGAGAGAGAGGGAGATTATTTTGATCTAAGATCTGTTGCCTTTAACTGATGATCAGGTCCAAGGAGTTGATTCAATTGTTTTTCATATGTATCAATATTTCTTTGCATTACTTTAAGGCATGGACCCATTAAACGTTCAAAACTGGCAACATCCAGGACTAGGTGAGTTAAGAAGTGGGGGAAAAATCAATAAAATGCAAGTATCACTTGAAATAAAATGTTTATATTATTGTTAATATTATTATTATAATACTTTTATTAATCGTCCTTTAATTTCTCAGTGAAATGTAGGGCTTTTGGCAGAATGTCGTCATTTCATTCTCTGCTCTGATGCCTTTTTTAGATGGTTCTACGATAACACCCATTGGTATTCATTTCCTCCTCACATGATTTCCTTGATATCACCCTCGGATGCCTGAGACGTTGTATTCCATTTGTGGTTTCACTTGAAGGCCTGCGGTGTGACGTCAATCAGCAGACTGACATTTAACTAATTACTTAGAATTTATTTTGCAAGCTTTTAAATTAAATTCAGTAGCGTCACTTTTTCGTTTATAATAAATTGTTAGTTTAAACATGAATGACCTTAAAAATCAGCAATAATGATAGAACATCCTAAGTTTGATCACGGGCTGATGTCAATTAGAGAACCATTGAAAACCAGGGAGTAATGTACAGCTGTTTTGTCATGATTTGAGAATCTTCGCAGTACGTACCCCCTGGGGTTTGAACCCACAGCCCTCTGCTAACAAGGTAGACCATTTAGCCGATGACACCCTATTCAATGCCCTATGAATTTCAATTTTCACTAGTTCATAATTTTAGCACCAGTGTTTGTTCTCACACGTGAACTGGTAGACCTAACTCGTCACGACTTCTCCTTGGGACCCAGAGGAATTCCGTTCTACCGCCAATGACCAACGAGCATCAGAGTGATTTTCAAGAGTCTACGAGAAGGTCCCATCTTCGAACCCTGGTGGTGCGTGCTGTGAGGAGTCCCAAAGAGGGACGAAACAGCTCTCTAGTACTTTCTGGTTCCCAGTGGTTCTCTAAATGACATCAGCTTATGATTGAACTTGGAAAAAATCAAGTTCCTGCAAAATAAATCTTGAAAATGAGAGAACAATGTAAACCAAGGAATAATGAAGAGTATTCTTCCTCTATTTTTGGACTCTTCATTCGTGCACATAGATTCCATTCACCACTCTTTGGACGAATATGTTGAACTATTCAGCACTATTCCCAATGGGTATCAAGTGATCCATTAAGTTTTTTGCTGTGAACCGTTGATATAGCCTCCATGTAATCCAATTACACTGATGAGTACATCCCAATTCGTATTACCTGATAGATAACTCACCTATTGAACAACTCAACCTCTTGTCTTACAATTTATTAATTCATGTATTCTGCCTATTCTTCTTTATTGTTCACTCTTATTCTTCCCTGGACTTCTCATAAAAGACTGTATCATGTTACATGGAACACTGAAGACTGTAAGAAGGGTTAGTGGTGTAACTCTGACTCAATTAACTGACATTGTTGTTAATAGGCATTTAAATTCTTGCAAGCAGCTGGCTGAAGTTATCTTGTCTGATATCTTGTCAACTTATTTGCAACTTTCTCTTTCCATCTCGTCGGGTAAGACCAACAGAACTTTCATATGAATTCACAGTCATAAAACAAAATATAAAAATTTTACCATACCATATTTATCACAGGTTTTGTGTGAAGAGAGGGTTAAATGTCAGAGATGAACTTATAAACTTTTAAATCAGTAACTGAACTGCAAAGTATAAGCAAAGATTATTACCAGATGTATTATCTATGATGTTATCTACCTATAATTTATTATTTTATCGCCATCTCTCAGATTTTTGTGGTTTATAGTACTATTCATAAAAGGAGCTAAATTGTTGAAATATCTACAAAAATGCTGAAAATTCCATTCTGTATAATTACTAGAGTTTGGAATAAAGTTATTATTTCATCATGAGCTGACATCAGTTAGAGAACCATTGGAAAACCTGAGAGTACTGGACAGCTGTTTTGTCCGAGTTTGGGACTCTTCATCAGTACGCACCCACCGGGATTTGAACCCAGGACCTTTCGGTTACAAGGCGAGCTCGTATACCATTAAGCCACTGGGACCCAATCCAATGGTCCTTGAATTCTAACTTCTGCCAATTCACGGTCGTGTGTGAGGACAAACACTCGCCGAAGATATTGGCTAGCGGTTGCGCTATGTCGTGAATTGGCAGAAGTTAGAATTCAAGGACCATTGGATTGGGTCCCAGTGGCTTAATGGTATACGAGCTCGCCTTGTAACCAGAAGGTCCTGGGTTCGAATCCCGGTGGGTGCGTACTGGTGAAGAGTCCCAAACTCGGACGAAACAGCTGTCCAGTACTCTCAGGTTTTCCAATGGTTCTCTAACTGATGTCAGCTCATGATGAAATTCTGAAACCAATCAAATTCCTACAAACCATCACTTGAAAGTTATTGTTGGTTTTTACTATTATCATTCATCCTGTTTTCAGGCCAGTCATAAAGTGTTAAAAGAGTTGAAAGTTTGGTAAGCGTCTTGTTGATTTCAGGATGAGGTTCCCTATATGTTGTGTTCTGACATATTGACGTTAAAATCAGAAGGCGAATTTAGTTTCATTTGGAACTGCTTAGAATATTGGATTTACATCCCACTGGTGTCACCACATAGACACAAACCCATCACCTAACGATACGAACATTAAAGTGTGGTCCTGAGGCAACAGTTACGGCTTATTATTATTATTCTTGGAACCTGCGGTCCATATTTGTTTGTGTCGGTGGCACAGAGGTTAGAAGTCTCGCCGACCATGCACATGGTCCGGGATTCGACCCTCTCCCGACGCCCATCTGATATCAATGGTTGGCCTGCAAAAATTTTGGCTACCGATCTCACATGCTGAAAATTCCACACTTGTACTAACAATACAGTTTGGAATCAAGCTATAATCAAAATAAAAAAATAAAATAATGAACGATCGTGCGTAGAGGGTGTGGTATAATTATAAAATGCGGTAACATTAAGTGCTTGAAAATCGGCGTGGGTGTCTATGTGGTAACTGAGAGATTCCTAGGTCGAACATTCTATGAACTATAAGTTTAACTTAGTAAAACAAGATATGTTTCCATAAGGTCAATTAACATTTCAAAAATTAATTTGCAGTTTACACAGGTCAAGCAGATGAAATTTCATCAAATCTGAGTATAATGATGTGCTTGCTACTATAAATGGTATTAAAGAAGACAAACATATTTGCATAAAACTATATACTACTGATTGACTGAGATGAGTAGTTGCACGCCATTCACATCAACCGGTATTACTTGATAACCAGATCGATGTGATCTACACACCATCTGACTGCCATTTCTCTGGTTCTGAGTCAAGCTCATCAGCTGATGGGTATGTGTGACATACAACTACTTACCTCAATCAATCAGTAGTACATAGACTTATGCAATCAGGATTGCTTTATTGATTATCATTTATAGTGTTTAGCAGGCTACATACTGTGATCTACATGAGTTAGGTTTCCAAAGCGAGCTGTGGTGAAATTTCGCCAATCGAAGTGTGTAATTAGCGAGCCTAATTTATATTGTTATCCGTTCGTCCAAGTAGCTAGCCAGAAGTCAGGTGCTTTGAATAGACTCGGCTCTCTGAGCTGAATGAATCAAACTGGATACACTTCTAGTGAGCTGTGTTACAAATGGTAGAGAGAGCTGCTCAGTATTAAGTTTAGATGACTTCGATCGGGCTGGTAAACACTACTGGTTGAAGTGGGCGGTATGCAACTACTAATCTCAACCAGCCAGTAGTGCGTATAGGGGTATGTTCCAGGAAAATAAGGCTTTTGGTAATCAATAACGTATGCATAGGTTGAAATTCTAAGGATATTGTGAGTTACTGATGCGTAGAAATGCAAGAACTGTATGAAATGATACTTCAGCAACCTTTTCCTTAATCAGTCAATTAGATGAACCGGCTAATCCGTGGTTCATTAGAGAAGTATAAAGATTCACAGTAACATATGACGTAGTACTTGCGTGTCTCGGGGTTCGATCCCTGGCCTCCGACGCACTCCTTTACCTCGCTAAGCGAGTAACAATACTGGTAAGGAGGGAAGGTTGCGCATAAGGCTAGCAACTTTACCCTGTAAAATTAATCTCCACTGCTACTGACACTGCAAAGCTCTAGCTTGAAGCCATATGTTCCACTGAGGATGTAAAGGAATAAAAAATAAACTTTGTAGACACCGTGTATTTGGATACACTACTGTCTGTTTATACCTACAAATGATGACAATACTACAGCGGTATAATCACTTACCAGCCACTTTAGTCTGTCCTACTGCATAAGCTGATGCAGCTCTTGGTCGTTTGGTGATAAGTGCCAATTCTGAAATACAAATAAGCAAAAACAGCAAACGTAAGAATTTAGGCATTTATCTTCAACACAACAGGTCATAAATATTCATCGTTTGCTTATTCTTATTTAAAGGTCACCCTTTAGAAACTGAAGAAGTGCAACAATTTTGTCACTTAGTCAGTTAGTTTCTTCTAATCACGAATTATACCCATTTATTCATACAGAAAAAAACTCAGTCCCGTTTTTTTGTTCAGCAAAGAAATATTTCGTTTCAATGGCTTTATTTTCAAGAGGCTGTACAGTTGTATTTGCATTACTGGGTGGCAATACTACTCCTGCTTAGCAGACAATATACACATATGATAAGAATGAAGATAATTAACTTCGTATTTTAGGAGGCTAGAGACGGAGTGTATGCATAAATGAGTGAATAGGTATAAAAATGTGAAAAGTAGATCAAGTGTGTTGTCTAAAAGATTAAGTGTGTACTATGATAATAACTGTAGAGAGAAGTGATATTTACATAGCAAACAAAACAAATTTTTATAAAATTATTGTTAGTTTTCAGAAAAAACGGAAATCTCTACAGGCTAATGATATTGAGAAGATAAATGAGGATAAAAGTGAGCTAGACAGATAATTCTTTTGTTTTCTCCTCTACCCGACAGCTTCCATTATCCTGCTTTTGTAAATTCATAGTATACAGAAATTGAGATTCTCAACAGCTAGTCAGTAGGAATTTAATTTGTCTCAAGTTTGATTGACTGATGTTAGTTAGTGAACAACTAAAAACCAGGGAATACTAGGCAGTTGTTTCGTCCTGGTCTGGAACTCTCCGTCAATACCCAAGGAAAACTGGTAGACAATTTAACTACTGTGACACAGTCCATTGGCCCATAAACTCTAGCTTCATATCTTGGTTCTCACTCACCGCCGTGTGGACTCCAGTGGTCATGACTTCACATTAGGACTCCAAGGAACTTTGTTCTGGATCAAGTTACTAGCGAGCAACATATTAACTTTCAACTTGCTTGCCTTGTAATCGGGAGGTCTTTGGTTCGAACCCCTGTGGTGCATACTTTTGAAGAGACTTAAACTGGGACAAAGTTCACTAATTCTTAAACTGACATTACTGGAATTCGATGTTACCTATGACTTATTGATTCATAAGCCGATAAAGAGTCTTTGGGGAGAACGAAAATTCTTTTCAGCACCTTTCAGCTTTCGCTCATACTTTAGCAGAATCTGTTAAAAGTACTTACTGCTAATGTAGTGAAAGTCTATTATAGAACAGATATAATTCCCTGAAGCTTGAAAAGCATCATATACACAATCCGACTTTAATACAGTAATTCTAGACTTTTTCTTCCACAATTAGCTTCAAATCCCTTAAAAAAGTTGATGTTCTTGAACAGCTACAGTGAATTGATGATTCATAGTGTTTCAGTTTCTTGAGTCTTGATTGGAACATAAGGTTCTAGGCTTGAAATTTCAGTAGGTGCGGTGTTTTTTCTACCAGGTGGGTTTGTAAGCCTAGCGCCTAAACTTCTCTTTTTTCCGAGCCTACTAGCAGCTAGTAAAATGGGCATTTAGGTACGCTGGGAATCGAAGCTCGGACGATGTATTTGGCCTGCCAGCACTATACCCGTGAACTGCCAAAGAAATCAAATTTTTTGCGTCATATTTGTAGTGACATTTTAGAAATGTCATCAGTGCAATGACTAAAACAGCTTTTAAGTTTCTTATTCAATGAAGCCTATGGTGATAGAATATCCAACTCTAGGACAGGAAACAGAACAAAGGGAATCCTTCACACTTCGATTCATTTTACCCAATCTTCTGATTCTATAGAATTTATGCTTTCTAAATCTTATTATTAACTGATATTTAAAACTGTTGAATAGGTTGTTTTGGGTAAATATTGCATCTCAAGCATAAGAATGATAAAGCGTGTGGAATTGGCATCCAGTACTTAGTGGATTGTTTAATAAATAAAACTTTAAAAGATTTTCTTTTTCCTGTTAACGTAAGCGTATCACCACATCTGGAAAGAGCGAAGCCATGAATAAGACTAGAACAGGAGATATAAGCCATTCATTTAAGCACCGATTATTTTAAAAAAGTGACAATGATATCCACCTATTAGCATTTTCAGTTGACCAGCTTACTGACCGCCTTTACGGTCATTCAATAAGTTGAATATCTGAGTTGAAGGTGATCTAAAGGCTGGAATCGTTTGGAACAACTTCATAGTCAGATAATGATCCTAAGATTAGTGGGAGTATAGCCAGCGAGTAATGCCAGGTTGAAATCTAGAACTTAAAGTATTTCATATAACTTCAAATATTATTTGCATAAAAATCTAGAATCGAATGAGTGCTCGAGCTAGATACAGAGCTTCGGAGGTTGGCTCTTTAAAATTAAATAATATTTCATGATTTCTTCTCTATTATCCGTCTTTGATAAATAATTCTCTCCTTAATTCATGAGTCTTGTTTTCTCAGTAGGAAATAACCAAAATCAATCTAATATTGCATAGACACATAGAATAAACGGTAAACCATATGTATTTAGGCAGCTTTAAAGATTGAGAAGCTACTCTAAAAAGCACCCAGATTTGTTTCCATTCATCTCCTGTCCGTTCATCTTCAGACATTGACGAAAACTAGTTACAGACAGGACTGGATAAAAGTGGAAAAGGAGCGACCGGCCTTAAACATTCATTTATAGATCACAATATGGTGTGAATATTTCAATAAGAATATGAAACCACTATACTGATTTCTTGTTTTAACGCAGTTCAATGAAGTTGTTGATGAGTGTTCCCGATCATAACTGTTGTTTAACTTTAGTGATTGCTATTGACTAAATAGAACACAGGACAAATAAGTCCTAAGCGATTTAGAACTACAAGTTTAATCACAGACTGACATCAATCAGAGAAATATTGACAAACAGAGGAGTAACAGACAGCTGTTTCGTTCTTGTTTCGGACTCAAGGGGTTTTGAACCACACAGATCTGATCTCAGTGGATGAATGATCTGCGAGCTCTCCCTGTAACCAGAAGGTTATGGGTTCGAACCCCCATGAGATGCAGACTAGGATGGAACAGCCTTCCAGTACTCCCTAGTTTTGCAGTGGTTCTCTAACCTACATCTATCTGTGATTAAACCTGAAGTAAGTCAGATTCCTGTAATCCACCACTTGTTTATTTGGAACTAATCAGTCGTTTTTGAGAAAACTTTAGCAGGAATTTCACTTACCTGCAGACTCTAAAATCAATAAAATGCCTACCTTTCGTTACTTCACTCAACCAAGTGGTTGTTGTTCGTAAAGACAGAAAAAGTGGCATACATAAAAAAAAAAGAATTCAAGTAGTGGTTTGTGGGGATTTGGTTGATTGGTTACAGGATTTCATCATGAGCTGACATTAGTTAGAGAACCATTGGAAAACCTAGGAGTACTGGACAGCTGTTTCGTCCTAGTTGGGACACTTCATCTGCACGTACCCACTGAGATTCAAATCCAGGACCCTCTGGTTAAAAGGCGAGTTCGTATGCCATTAAGCCACTGGGACCCAATCTAATGGGCAGCCCCCATGAATTCCAACTTCTGTCAAGTCGTGACCAGTAGGGTGCAGCGGGTTGAGTGTGAGGACAAATACTCGCCGAAGACATTGGCTAGCGGTCGCGCTATGTTGTGAATTGGCAGAAGTTAGAATTCATGAGCCATTGGATCGGGTCCCAGTGGCTTAATGGCATACGAGCTCGCCTTGTAACCAGAAGGTCCTGGATTTGAATCCCAGTGGGTACGTGCAGATGAAGAGTCCCAAACTAGGACGAAACAGCTGTCCAGTACTCCTCGGTTTTCCAATGGTTCTCTAACTGATTTCAGCTCATGATGAAGTCCTGTAAGCAAAAAAAGAATATTCAAAAATGATGTCATCTTCTGAAGCAATATAATTCAATGATATGCTTTCCGTGAAACTGAAGTTACCAAAGTTAGTACACAAATGTAAACTATTGAGTCGAAGAAAATACAGTTACTGGTATTTTTTCTCGATAACGTTAAGTGAAGGCAAATAAATAAAGTGCGAGGTTAACAAATGCTCAATGTTTGGAAACTTAAAGTAAACAAATAACTTCAAAGGAGCGGACAAAAATATGTGGGCATGTACAATAAATCTTTTGTTTACTACGTTTAACCTCAAAATGACCTAGTTTTTGAAAGCGGTTTATTTAAACCAATTATTACTCTTATTATTTTATCTATCGTGTTTGATTAACTGACATAAGGAGGTAGAAGGAAAAGGGTGTAGAGTGGGGGATTTTATCCCACCTACTTGTAGATGAAGAAAGGCGAATTATTTGTGTAAAATCTCAAACATATGTCAAACAAATTCATTTTATGTCTTCACCCGACCTTGAAATATTTCCACTTCTGTAACTATTTTTGTATGTCGCTCATCATAACAAAATTATTCATTAGCTTCATCAGTTTCAATTAGAACAGTTAATCAATCTTTTAGATTTAGTGAAGTTATTTCAATAACACAATTATAATCAGTGGGTGGGTAAGAATAGATAACACAGAAGGTGTCAGTACTGATGAAAAGGCATAAATTAAGATGAATCTAATGTTCAAGTCGAAGAGTTTTCCCTTCTTTATCCGACTTAGTTCCTCAAGAGTTAAAATGAAGACACAGGTAGATCCGATGTCATAGTTTGTAATTGTAAGTTGAAAAAACAAATCACTCACCTCCAAAATAAGCGCCTTTTCCAACTCGACTTAATTCAACTTCTTTTGTGTTCTGCAACAAAACATTTTTCAAGTTATGCGGTTAGTTTAGATACTGAAATTTTTCTGTCAAATAAATTATGCATTAAAAGACATGACATGCGGCCGTAGATCTCACATTCCTATATGAGGCCAACCAATTTAATTCAGAAATATTATTAGGAAATTATAGACGTCAATGAATAATATCAAATTGTTATCTTTGCATAGGAACTAATTATCGTGGATCAGTAGCATATTAGATAACTGTTTCATTTTTGGAATAAGTAGCCTTGATAAGGGTCTCTCCAAAAGCATTAATACCTCAGGAAAGCTGAGCACATGCAGTTGAAAACGCCGAACTTGCATCCCAGTTCTCCTCACCGCGAAATTGGTGTAAAAGACGTTAATTATATTCTGGATTAAGTCTTCAGTTGTTTTGTGGGCACATCTACATTGTACTTGGTCTGCTGGCGTCACTTCATCTGACTCTATGACTGCTCACAAGCTTTCTTTTTCTGTTTACGTATTCTTCCTACGTCGGCCTTAGATCGTCCAACCGTCGCATCCAACCCGGTGTCCTTTTGACCTCCTGTGTAACTTGTGGTATCGCTAGAATGCATATTTTTTGGGCAATAAGTTCTTGGTTGTTTCGTCGACAGAGTTCCTTGTTGATAATTCTCTCCAGCCGACCAACTCATCTTTCGTATCAAGTTAATGCAGGTTGTCGGCGGAAGTCTTCAGTAGTCCGTTGAAGACGCGTGCCCTCGGTCTCTGAACCATACAGGAGCACTGACTTGATATTATTATTAAAACTTCGAATCTTACGCTTAGTGCTAAATACTGTAGGTTGCCGCAGTAATTTCAGACCATTGGACACATGTCTGACTTCTTCTTTGATCCTATTTTCTCGATGTTCACTTGAAATCTGGTCTTCTGTGTCTCCTCTGCCAATTTGCTGATTTTCGTTTGTAAATCTTCAACTTTGTACTACATGAGATAAAAGTTGTCCACGAAATTCAGATCTTCTTGGATCCTTTTTCATTTCGGCATATGCTCATCTTCTGACTACTCACGGTCTATTGTATGATCTGGTTCGCCATACTCAGGAAGATAATCAATGATAACAGGCCAAACACTTCAGTGTGTCTTTCACTGGGAATTACTAGGCATATAACAACATCATTTAGCTGTTAAATGAAGTTTATAAGCTTTTTTGACACTCTGTAGTGTTGGAGCATCTGCCATATTACCTTGTGGTCAACACTGTCGAAGGTGGCAAGGTTCAGGTAGAGTGTTGACTCGTATTTTAGGTTCAAAATATTTAAATTATATGCGTCATTTAATTAAGTTAGACATTCGCCTTACCTCTTTCACAATAATTTTAACCGTTCCAGATTCAATGATGAACATCTCTTTACCAGTTTCACCTTGTGATATAATAGTAGCACCATCTTGATATACTCTTGACTGTAGGGCATCAGCAACATTTATGCGTTCATAACTACTCAACTCTTTTAACAACGGGACATCTTCAAGCAGTTCCACATATGCTTGGCGTTTATGAAATGCAGCTTTTAAAACAATTCGACGAAATGTACTTCGATCCATTAGCCATAATATACCATCTGTAGCAGCGATTATTGATGCTGCTCTTGATGTGTTGTACATTAAGGCTAACTCTCCAAAAGATCCTTGCCCATTGTACGATCCAACTTTCTCGCCAAGATGTCCATCAGTACTGTTGGAATTTTTCACATAGATATCATATGTTCCTCTGAAATTAAAAGGTGAATTAAAAACAGTACGTAGGATACATTACAAATTATTTAAATTAATCCCAGCGTGTTAAGAAAATCAAAACAAGATTTTTCTGAACGTTTTGCCGTGTAAGCCACAGCTTCTTCAGCAGATTTACTGATTTAGAACACATATAACTCACTACGCTGGTTATTTGAGGAGAAAAATGATAACAAAACGAGTGTACCTCTATTATATATAAGTTTTATACAGTTTATATAAATGATTTTGGTTAAATCACGAACTAATATCAGTTGGGGAACCGTTAACAATTAGGTAGTACTGAACAGATGTTTCGTTATAGTTGGGACACATCAGTAGTGTGTATCTGCGACCCATCACGGATCAAACCCTTAACTACTACGACACAAGGCAAGCTCACTGACCATCAAGCTAATAAGACGGATTAAGGAGGACGTACTGATGGCAAATCCGAAACTGTGGTGAGACAGCTTTCTAGTACTCTGTGCTTTACAGTGGTTCTTTGACTGATGTCAGTTTGTGATTTAGCTTGAAACCAATCAAATCCCCGCAAACCAAAACTTGAAACCAGTTTATTTTATTGGTAAGAATATTTTTCACATTTCTAGCATTGGTTTTGTGCGGCTCCTAATGCACATGCTTGGCATAGATTCGATGAACAAAGATTCACTGTTAAACATTTGTCTCTCCGTCTACTTAACTATATCACCTTTTCAAACCGTAGGTTTGTCTTGCAAAACCTAAACCAGTAAGTTGTGTGTGTGTACTTTTGTGGCGTGTGCTACTAAAAAAATTTATCAGCAGTAAATAGACGAAGAGTGGCAGGAAGTAGCCAACAATAAAAACAACATTTTAAGGCAGTGGCTATAGAATCAGAAGCATTTGCTTCTCAAATCTGGATCTAGCTTACGTTGTGTTCAGGAAATAATCTCATTTGACAACTGTCCTTTCCAAGGTTTAACCTTCAGAAGGCAGCAGTCAGTGAGGAGAGTCTATTATTGGTTGACCTAGCCCACCATAAATGTGTATAACACGTGTGCTTCTCTTCAACAAGAAAGTCCACTGTCAAGTCTCTTCTCTTCTCCCCCTTTCACCTTGATGCTGGTAATATCAGCAAAAAACTGTGCTCAGAAGGTTATCATTAGATTAACCATGCTACGTTAATATCTGTTATGTAAAATAATAAATTTTATTATGAGACTTTGTCAATTCTTTCATTTACCTAAAGTTTCTTATGTTAATAGGTGGATGTACAGTTGCTGAATAATTCATCCTTTCTTTTAAAGCTTAGTCGGCCAAGTAAAACTTTAAGCACCATTACCTACCAATCAGCAAATAGCCTTCAATGGTCCAATAAGGTTCATTCACATGAGTTTAAGCTTTTCTTCCACTCGATTCGTATCGAATGCCTGCTCTGATGAAGTTACGCCTGCAAGTTTGATGACGATAAGGTTTTGTATTATTGTCTGGATTTGGAGTTGCTAAGGAAGGAGAGGATTTATTCATGTGGAAGTGTCATGAGTTTACAAAGCTTTAGCAGGTCGATTGTTGGATATGTCTATCGTTGTGCGATTTTCTTGAGACCAGTTAGGGAGGGTAAGCTGATGATTTTAATATTTCGTAGAAACATTTGCTAATTCGCATCTCTCCCTGACCCAGATTTTGTTTATTTGCAATTACCGGGTTTTGAAACAGCCTGTGAGAGGGGTAGCTACTGAAACTGAAAATAGCCTCATGTCAACAGTTCAGTGGTACCAGCACTGCAGAGACATAGCCTCATGGAACATGGAAAGAGTTACGTCGTTGTTAGGCGGATTAGGTGTCGTCGTACACGTGGACGAAACTGTCTTATTGAAGGAAGAATACAATCGTGGTCGTGAGCGAGCCAACAATGTTTGGGTATTTGGTTTATAGAACACCTTTATACGAAAAGGATTCGTGGAGAGAATACCAGAAAGAAAGTCTAATACCTTAGTACCTATTGTCACTCGACTGGTGAAACAGGGATCTATAGGACATTCTGATGAATGGAAATGTTATAACTCGCTGTCACCACTTGGATATATTCACCACAGAGTAAACCATTCTAATGATTTTGTGGATCCCATTACAGGGACACACGTCAGTTCGATAGAAGGCTTTTTGGGAAGATTAAGAAACAGGATTAGGGCTATAAATGGATCTCAAAAAGTATCATTTATAGTCATGTGGTTGAATATATGTGCAGCATGCGGTGTAACGTTTTTGTTGACACTCCTATGCTAAACTAAGAGATGTTTCTGTCACATATTACGGAAAGATACCCTGTGTAACAGTTTTACGCAGTTTTTATCTTTTGTTTTTCATAAATATACGTTTTCCACAATCAAAAGTCTCCCTTTGATGTGATTGGTTCGTTGAAAGTTGTTCACTGATTGGTGGCTAGTAGTGCTTGAAGTTTAACTTTGCCGTTTAGACCTTCATTATAATTACTGCTTAGTATATTGAAATACAACTGCATTGACTTAGGTTTGCCAAGAAAACTGTTTTCATTTCATAATGCAAAGCAATTTTCGTGTACATCAGACTGCCAAGGCATATGATGGGTTTGAAAGATCTACAGATGTGCTTGTTAAACTGTTATCTGGACATATGATTCTGTAAGCAGATTTTCCAGAATTAGTCCAATCATCATCTTTAACGCTCCTTTAAAGAAAAGTATGCTAGGTATATTGATTAGATTTTACTGATTAACCAGTATTGTGTGTTTGCTGATAAGTGTTGTTATTGTTTGAATTCTTACTGACAAAGTTAAGTCAGCCTCAACATAAATGACCAGAAACACGTCGTTAGTGACTTCCTTGTGACTCATCACTTATCCACTATAGTCCTACTGGAGTTACTCGCGAGCCTGAATATCTCGCAAGGGTAACCTCTTTCCTGAAAACCAAAGGATAAGATTCAAACCTGAGGAAGGAAATAGAGTTCTTAGAGTTTGAAAATGTCCCTTGCCTTTGTAGAGTGGCCCTCCGATTGTCTTCAAATGTGTAACACATGACAATGTTGCACCATCACTTACTTACTACTTCAAAGTAAATTGGAAATACAACTAGCCTGCCGAACAGTATATATATATATATATCACAGAATTTGTAATTTCGAATAAACTTACGATTCAATTACGTAGAAGTTGTCCCCATCATCCCCTTGAGAAATGACTACTTCACCTTGCTTCACTTTCATTTCTTGCATTGCATCAATAACTCTGGATTTTTGTTCCTTGAAATGAAAAAAAAAAAACGCAACACTAAATGATAGGATTAAGGATCACATGTCCCTTCTGAAATTCGAACCCGCGTCACCCAGTGTTGACTGAAGTCAGAGGCGTTACCATTGCGCATTGCTGACGACCGCACGAAAGTTAGATCAAGGAAGGCTTCTGCCGATCACCTCCAACCATCTAATATCATCAAAGGACTAATGATATATTGGATCCAATTTGCGATTCGCAGTTTACACAATTCGATATGAAATTCTATCTCAGTTTCCACTGGAAATCAAGACTACTGAGATCACAGTATATGTGTGATATGCTAATAAGATAAATGCTGAATTAATTTGTGAGTTACGAATTTGATCCGACAGTTAAAGCATATATTTGATGCATAGGATATTCTGCATAAGTATACTGAAAAAGAATGGAAGAAATCTCAAGAGAGTCACCACTTTCACTTACTAAAGTAGTATTCTTTAACTACATGCGGCAGAAATGATGTCGAACGATTTGAAAGGCAAGGTGGACTTCTACGAATCTGAAATCAGTGTAAATCTACTTCAGCGTTGAGCCAGTGAAGGAAGCTGTTGATGGAAGTCTGAGCTAGCCTTCTGAGAACGCTTTTGATGACGTGTGCACCAAGTTCATCATTCGTATATAAGCACTGAATTAAAATTATTCTTGAGAATTAAGACCTTATTTCATGCGCTGTTGGTAAAGATTTCTACATTGATGTGAGCATTTTTAATCCTGCCAAGTTTTGAAAGCCTCATCTATGCCTCCTGTAGTTGAAAAGATGCTGCACAAGTAAGTGAAATAGGTGGCTTCACCTAAGGTTTAGGTTGTTGATGGTGACTTGTCAGCAGTTTAATTAATCAACTCCTGTAGAATAAGTGCTACTACTTAGTTCAGATTAAACCGCTAACTAAGTACCATCAATCATTTATGAAGCGAAGTCATAATGCAAATGAAAGCGAAATTTGTACTCTAATTTTTTTTTAATCATTTATGATTTATTGCTGAGCAGTTAATTTTCCTACGGGTTTCTGTGGAATTCAGGGAACAAAAAACACCATTACTTAGAACAATCGCCTGATGAACAGACACTTTCACTAGAGACAACCGTATTCTGAACGGAAGTCTACATCAGTCAGATTCACTATGAAGTTTCCATTTTATTCTACTGCATTTAATTGTTTCAGAAAATTTACTTCCTTTACTGTATTTTAATTGATATTTAATTGTAGATTATGTAGAAAACGGTAAATTACTTGTCCTAATTTTTTTAACATGTATTTTCCGTTCTAAAACAGTTTCGTGATTTGGTTGTTAGATTGACACAATGTAGCAAAAGAAAGATAGCCGTGTTTAAAAAATATATATAACAGCCAAGTTGTTCTTCAGGCAGAGAATATGTCAACTAGTGATGAAGAATTGATGTTCATGATATTTTTTTCAATGTTTTACTTGACCGAAAGAGCCTGACTGAATGAAAACTGCAAAAATAAAAGAGAGTGAAGCAAGTGGTTCATCTGTGACCGAATTTAAACTATCAAGTCCCATGGGTGCGGACGCTCCAATGACCGTGAACGCGCACTAGTCGTTTGATAGGTCTTGTTAAAGACCTATCATTATTATAGCGCTAATAATATGAACCCTATTCACCCACAAACGAACAAGTTTCATCCAGGTCACGTTTTTAAGTACTGTTTGGATAATGTGTTAAAAGCTTTTAAGGGTTAGGATTAAGGTTAAGGCTAGGACCAGGGTTATAATTAGGCTTAAGATTAAGTTTCAGGATTTCATCATGAGCTGACATTAGTTAGAGAACCATTGGAAAACCTAGGAGTACTGGACAATACTTAAGTACCAATCAGATGCTCACTGGCGACTGGCCCTATTCAGGTAGGTAGTTACCTGGGTTCCAGTGAGAAGTCGTGACCAGTAGGGTGCAGCGGGTCGGGTGTGAGGACAAATACTCGCCGAAGACATTGGCTAGCGATCGCGCTATGTCGTGGAATTGGCAGAAGTCAAAATTCAAGGACCATTGAATCGGGTCCCGGTGGTTTAATGGTATACGAGCTCGCCTTGTAACCGAAAGGTCCTGGGTCCGAATCCCGGTGGGTGCGTACTGATGAAGAGTCCCAAACTAGGACAAAACAGTTGTTCAGTACTCACAGGTTTTCCAATAGTTCTCTAACTAATGTCAGCTCATGATGAAATCGTGAAACCAATCAAATCCCTACAAAACAACGCTTAGGATTAAGGTTAGGGTTAGAGTTAGGGATAGGTATGGAGTTGGTATTATTTATTTTAATTTGTTTTATTATCCACAATTTCCTGGTAAGTAGTCATCGATCCTCTTGCTAGAAACAGTATCAATCTCACAGAGGGCTTCTAGGAAAGACTGCAAAACAGGATAAGAGCAGTAAACGAGTCACAAAAAAGCTCAATCTAAGTCATCTTTATGAATACATGCATAGAAACGATGACATCATACAATAAACTTTTTTATTAAGTCAAATTTTGATGGTGACTCGTTAAGTGAAGGCCTTGTTAAAGAGAATAGCCAGAAGTATACGGAGAAGTTTTTATGGAGCGCACCTACGTTTGTCATTCTCTAGTCAGCGAATGGTTGTGACTGAGACAAAAGAAAAGCTAAATAATTTTGCCAAATCTGTGTATTGTCAATTCAACTGCTCCTGCGGTGAAACTTAAATGTTGGGAGTACTACTAGATACCTTAGCCAACATTCTGCTGAACATATCTCATCGTGATTTGACAAAAGACAAACAAAAACTATCTTTGGCTCATTTTGTAACATTTAGTCGATGGTGGTCATTTAGAAGAGAGAACGAAAGCATTCAAGATGATTTATCGCATCCCACAGAATCTTTCCATTGGACTTGGTATTCATTAACCCCATAAAGCTGAGGCGATTGTCTTTCGGGGTGTTAAGCCTAAACTATGCATTCAGAAGAAGTTTGTACAGTCGTTATCATTCCACGGCCAATTAGGACCTGAACAACTGACGATGATATATCAACCACCCCATAATGATAATCTCATGTCTCTTCCATATAGGCCCTTAGTCTTATTATAGATTTATTAAAATGTGGCCTAATTACTTTGCTTACAAACTAACACTATTGAATTCGACCATTTACTCTCGGCTTCGTCTACCTAAACGTTCGTTTGTTTATTCGTGTTGTTTTGCATTATTTAGGCTATCACATATTGCTTCATCTCTTTTATCAGTAAAATTATTATTGCTATAACTGCGATTAGTTGTACAATCTTCTCATTCTACTGACAAATCACCAAGACTAGTTTATATTTAATTGCAAAGTAATGTAGGTGTATAAGAGTAAAGCCTGATGAGATCTTGATGGGAGTAATATAGTTGGCTTACATATGTTGTTCAACATTAAGCATATTGTAAGGATGAACAAATTTTAGTGCCTGAAACTTTATGAACAAATTACTTGGAGTAATCAAACACACTGTTACATGTTGTACAGTTTGAAGATTTAGTTCATTGTCTTAGGCACTCAGCCTTTGGGCAAGGGATCCTGAGTTCAAATCGTGGCCCTCTTTCAAAATAGGCAAATAAGTAGTACTGCTGGCTGTCATAGAACAATGTTAACTCATAGCCTGTTACATAAAAAATATGTCTTGTTTTTACTCGATTCCATAGAGGGAGGATGTTCGCAAACCAAGAATATGGTTTGGGATTCGATTCCCCGAGGACACATTCCTATACTCACTAAGTTTGCAATAAGACTGGTTAAGTGGGAAGGTTGAGCACCAGGCTAGCAACCCAATGTCGTGAAATGAACACTACAACCGAAACTGCAAAGCTCTAATTTGAAGCCTTATATTCCACTAGGAAGGCAAGGGAATAAAAACACCTAATCTAACCTAACTGAGATCTAATCAGCTTTCTACTTATTTCCGGTGGTTACCATATCCTAGTATCATTATTCATTAAAAAAGTCTATGCTTAGCCTTTAGAAATCATGGGTAATTTGAGTAAAGTCTTCAGAGGATTCCTTTTTGTTTTCTGCCTTCAGAAGAGATTCTCGAATCAGGTAAACAAAGAGGACGTATTCATGTTAGTTTCGGCTTCTGTGCGTCAGTGGCCCAGTGGTTAGAACTCTCGCTGGCCATGCACATGGTCCGAGGTTCGATCCCCTGCCGACGCACACCTGATATCAATGGTCGGCCTGCAAAATTTGGGCTACCAATATTACATGCTGAAAATTCCATACCTGTACCAAAAATACGGTATGGAATCAAGGTGTAATCAAAAACAAAAAATACAGAATCTATTGGTAGACTTATAATTTTCTGCTAATTTTGAGCTTTATTTATAAAATGGTGTTCGGCTAATAAAATAATGCTCTTGGATGCTAAAAAAATATCGAAAAGAGATGAAAAACCGTTTTAAGGAATTATAAATAACAAAAGTGATTGAAAATAAGGATTGTTTATTTATTGAATGACTGAGATAAGAGAATGATGAACAACACTTTCGATAGTTTTCTTATCTCACCCTATACAGTAACATATCTGCTGTAGTTGGAGAATAATTGTTATTGACATAAATAATATCCTTCTTTGAAGAAAGTCCAATCATTTAGATCAAAACATCCAGGTGAAAAATCTTGAATAACAATGTAAAAAACTATACACTACTTTTCGATGTAGTTGTGTTCTCTTCTTTCAAAAGAAGCTAAAACCAATATCATCAACAGAATAAATTTAACGACTGCGAAAAACACTACATTGGCCAAAGTAGACGACGCCCCCTTCGTCTTCCTAATGAACACATGAACACAAACTAGCCGTCAAAAGACATGACATACACTCGCTTCTCATAATGCCTCACCGCACACACACAACCACGGACATCAATTAAACTGGAACACGTTCAAATATTCAACATAGGAAACACCGGGAACTCTAGAGAATGTTTAGAAGCCTTCCTGGTATTCCGGTGAAT